GCGGAGTTTCTAAAGGGTGGGGTTGCTGACAAGATTAGGGTGTGTGCAGGGTCTCCTAATCTTGAAGCGCTTCTCTGGTCCCTTTAATCTTGCCTCAGGTGGCTTCCTGGCTGCTCCTCCCTTGACTATCAACTGTTCGAATCTGCCCTTTGGAACTCAGGGAAGGTCATGGAGGCTGGAGTCTTGCCTATAAGAAATGGGGGACAAAAAGGCCTCCATGCCTGGGAGCCCCATAGGACCCTGCTCGGTTTCAGCATTAGTAGGTGTTAGTCACATTGCATCATTATTACTTTATTCAGCCTCGCCTTCCTCACTAATATGTGCTGTAGGCACCTCTATCAAATCACAGATATCAAGACTCTAGAGCAGCAGTTGGCAAATGTTTTCTGTATAAAGGGCCAGATAGTAAAGACTTTCAGCTTTATGGGCCTTATGGTCTGTGTCTTAGCTGCTCAACCTTGTTGTTATGTGTGAAAGCAGCTGTGGACAGGATGCAAATGAATGGTCCTGACTCTGTTCCTGTTAAACTTTATAAAAGCAGGGGATAGGCCTGATTTGCCTATAGGCTAGAGCAAGGTTCATGGACTTGAATGCCTGTCGGGGCTAGGCAGGTACTGCAAAGGAGTCAAGTGGCTGACTGGGGACTGCCACTAGTGCCTTGTCTAAAATGGGCAGCTACTTCTTACCTACAGCCACTTGTGACTGCCCCAGTGATATTTGAGCTTATAATTCAAGAGTAGCTGGAAACTGGTATTTTTACACAAAGCACTTTTATCAGTGGGCAACTAACTTTAGATTTGTTCAGAAAATATAGTAAAGGTCAAGCTATATATCTTTGTGAGCTCTTTTCTGGTCCATAGGATCTAGTTTTGCAAATTCTGGTATTTTCAGATGTAACTGTGTATTATGTATAACTATATATTATGTACAGGAACTTCCTGGAGAATGTCATCAGACATGGACAGCAAATATCTAGTTCTGATGCTGCTAGCTCCCTTCAAGTGCCTGTGACAGATATCAGTTATCAATCATACCACTCTTTCCTGCTGAGCCTAGAGAAAATTTCAGAGTGATTCTACACCAGTCCTCAGAAAAGCCACGACCAGTGAATTCGTTGTGTCCTCTGATATATAAGGTATTTGTCACTCCTGTTCCAGAGGACTCTCTTTAAAATGTTTTTTGGGATTCACCTAGAAAATGGCTTTGCATTTTTTAATTCTATAACTTTAAAGAAATCTAGCTAAAAATTGCTCTTAACTAAAGAGTATTTGAAAAAATATGTATCAGAAATAACGCACATGACAAAAGATAAGCTTCTGTTCCTATGGCAGAATTTATTTTATATTATTGAATAAATTTATTTATTTATTTTTGGCTGCATTGGGTCTTCATTGTGGTGTGCAGGCTTCTCATCGTGGTGGCTTCTCTTGTTGTGGAACACAGGCTCTAGGTGCGCGGGCTCAGTAGTTGTGGCGCACAGGTTTAGTTGCTTCACGGCATGTGGGATCTTCCCAGACCAGAGCTTGAATCCGTGTCCCCTGCGTTGTCAGGCAGATTCTTAACCACTGTGCTGCCAGGGAAGTCCCAGATTTTAGATTCAAACTTAGAGAACTGAAGATCTCCACAGTTGCATGTGTCCGTAAAGGTTCTGGTAGCATTCCTTCTTTGAAGAGACCGTGAACTTGGATTTCTGGTCTGATTTTTTTTCACCATACCTGTGCAAAGTAATGGGAACAAATAGTTATAAAGGGGAGTTTCTTTTTCCTTTCTCTTACTACCTCTGACCCTGGTGCACAGTTACTGGAGAGTAAGATGTTCACAATTTAGGGACTCTGTATGAGAATATGTGCCATCTAGGAGCACATACTTTTGGATTGTGTATGTGGCATGCACATGATGCCAGCCTAGGTAAAACATGCTTTATTGTCCATTTTGATGGCATAAAACTTTACATCTTTTGTACTCTGCCCTCTGTGAGTCTAAACCGTACTTGTCTCTCAAGTTTGATCTTCTCCAAGAATTCTGCTCTACCCATTCTAATCCTCATTGAACCTGCCTCTTCTCTAGATTTCTTTAATATTGAGAACTGTCCTAATTTAGCAGTGTCACGCTTTATTACATTATTTGATTTAATTTGCATTTGTTTCCTCCCCCCATAATTAACATTTTCTTTTCCTGCCATCTAGCGTAGTAAGGACCGTGAATGGTGTGAACTGAAAGAACATTTTGTTTTTAAGCAGGCAATTTAGTACAGATGTTCATTGGATGCTTTTTATATGCCACTGGGGCTCTAAATGTGGATGAAACAGAACAATGGACCCTGCCCTTGAAGACCAGAGTCTAGTGGATTAAAGTCTAATGGAATTTAAAATGTTCCCTTTTTTAGTAATCAGTGATGAACATTTACAGCTCCCCTGGAAGGAAAGCTCCCCTGGGCCTAGGTCTTTGTTTCATTTACTGTTATATCCCAAGTGCCCAGGTCAGTGCCTTGTATACAGTAACTGCTCAGTAAATATTTCTTAGGTGAACTTTTACAAGTTTTTATGTAAGTGCAGGGCTCTTAGGTGAACCGTAGTGTCTGCCTTCCACTTCCTTTACGTCTCTCCCACTCCTCATCCCAGCCACGTAGTTCTCTGCCCAGAAAAGTCAGCCTTGACTTTCCTTCCAGAAATATTATATGTACGTATACGTACATGTGTGTGTTTGTACTTCTTACACAAATTATAGCCTATGCCTTTCTTTCCCTTAAAATATATCAGATAGTTCTCTGTCAGTGCATACTCATGTTACTTTTAGTGGCTGTATAGTATTGATTACTCGGACATTTCATAATTTATTAAACCAGAAACTTATTGATGGGTATTTAGGTTATTCTGATCTTTTGCTCTTATACACAGTATTACGATAAATATCCTCACTCAAGTTGTGACCTCTGCAAGTAGGAATTTTAGTATACATTCCTAAAAGTGGAAGTGTGGAATTCTTATAAGTTCAAAGGGTTTATGTATTTGTAATTTTGATAGGAATTGCCAAATAGTCTTCTACAGAGAATATGAACGTGCCATTTTGCTGCACTCTGACTAACACCATATTTTATCAAAGTGCTTGATTTTTTTGTGATCTGATAGGTGAAAAATATCTATTATGGCTTTGTATTTCTCTTACATAAATAAGTTTGAACATCATTTTATATGTTTACAAACTCATTTCATTTTATGTGTTCTGTCGTTATAACTTTTGCCCATTTTTCTATGTGATAATTGATCTTTATCTTATTGATGTGTAGGAGCTCTTTGTATAGTTAAAAAAAAAAATTCCATGTCTGTGCTTGCTTGTTTATATCTCTATGTGAATTAGAGAATCAGCTTGTCTAGTGACCTGCCCAACACACCTAAAAAATCAATCCTGTTGGTATTTTTGTTGTGTTTGTGTCAAATTTATAGGTGATTTAGGGAGAACCGGCATTTCCATGATGTTTCGTCTTATTTCCCAGGAACATAATATGTCTTTACATTTGTTTAAGTGAGTCATTGTTGTGATAAAGGGCATTGTCTTAACTTTGGGACTGTTTCTAATGTTTCCCTATTAAAATATTCTGGCTTTGGGATTGAGATAGATCTGTATTGTATCATGTTAAGGAACTAGCCACCCATTGCTATCTTATTGAGGTTTTTACCGCGAAAGGATATATTTTGTCACATACATTTGTGTAATTCTGGTGACTCATATATCTGTTGTTTGTTTGTTTTCACCTATGAGTATGATGAATTTTAAGTATAGACTTTTGCATATTGAACTATCCTTGTACTCATGGAATAAGTTCTACTTGGTCATGGAAAGTTATCCTTTTAATATGCTGCTGGATTTGGATTCTGTTTTCTTATATAGATCTTCCATGACCTACTGGGGTTATCTCCCAATAAGCCCATTGTAAGTTGAAAATATAAGTCACAGCTGCATTTAATACACCTAACCTACCGAACATCATAGCTTAGCCTAGCCTGCCTTAAACCTGCTCAGAACACTTACATTAGCCCACAGCTGAGCAAAATCATCAGACACAAAGTATATTGTAACAGAGTGTTGAATATCTCATGTAACTTATTGAATATTGTACTGAAAGTGAAAATGAGAATGGTTGTATGGGTACAGAATGGTTGTAAATGTATTAGTTCTCCACCCTTCTGATCACGTGGCTGACTTGGAGCTGCCTGTGCCCAACATCACAAGAGAGTATTGTTCTGCATGTCGCTAGCCTGGGATAGGATGAAATTCAAAATTCGAAGTATGGTTTTGACTGAATGAATGTTGCTTTCACACCATTGTAAAGTTGAAAAATCGTTAAGTTGGGGACCATCTGTACTGTATTTAAGAAATATGCATTGATTTTCAGACGTGAGGCTGGTGTGTGTGTGTGTGTGTGTGTGTGTGTGCGCGCGCACACACACACATGCGTGTGCTTGCTTTGGAGTTTGATACGTATTTTGTCTTTATGAAAAGAATTTGAACACTTTTCTTTTTCTGTGCTCTTGAACAATTTACAGTGGATTGAAATTACCCACTTCTTAATTTTTTGATAGAATTCTCCTTTGCAGCTCTCTACTCCTGTGTTCTTTGACAACTACCCCTATACCTTCTTTGGCTTTTTTTTAGCTTTTCTACCTCTTCTGGGGTCAATTTTGGTCATTAATGTTTTCCTAAAAACCTATCCAGATTTTCTAATTTAGTTACATGGAATTGAACAAAATAATCTTCTTTCATTTTCTTTGGTATGTGTGGTTATTTCCTCACCATTTTCAGATTTTTTGGATTAAAAAATAAATGACATGTTAACAATATTCTAAAGAATGTGTTTTTTAAAAAAATATGACGTAAAAAGAGTATATAGTTCACTTATCCATATTTTATTAAAACCTCAGTTATTCCTAAGGTAACTGTTATGAAACCCAGAACTTTAGATGAAACATTTCCATTCTGACAACTCTCTCCTCTTTTGACAGACCCTGAAGAGGAAAGTGAGGATGACCCTCAACTCGAAGGCAGAGATCCTGATATTTGGCACGTTGGTTTTAAGATCTCATGGGACATAGAGACACCTGGTTTGGCGATACCCCTTCACCAAGGAGACTGCTACTTTATGCTTGGTAATTGGGAGGATCAAAGCTATACTGATGCTCTAGTGTCTAGGTTTTAGGTTATTGGGTACATATTTTGCATATGTCTTTTGAAATAAACTTTTCAGGTTTTTTATAGTGATAATAAAACATCTACATGTGACTAGGTTTTCTTAAAAGATACTGCTAATTTTTATTTTCATCTTTTTCAATTTTATTTTATTTTTTATACAGCAGGTTCTTATTAGTTATCTATTTTATACATATTAGTGTATATATGTCAATCCTGATCTCCCAGTTCTCCACCACCACCACCACCCCGTCGCTTTCCCCCCTTGGTGTCCATATGTTTCTTCTCTACATCTGTGTCTCTATTTCTGCCTTGCAAACCGGTTCATCTGTACCATTTTTCTAGATTCCACATATATGCATTAATATACGATATTTGTTTTTCTTTCTCTGACTTACTTCACTCTGTAGGACAGTCTCTAGATCCATCCACGTCTCTACAAATGACCCAATTTCGTTCCCTTTTATGGCTGAGTAATACTCCATTGTATATATGTACCACATCTTCTTTATCCATTCGTCTGTCGATGGGCATTTAGGTTGCTTCCATGACCTGGCTATTGGAAATACTGCTGCAATGAACATTGGGGTGCATGTGTCTCTTTGAATTATGGTTTTCTCAGGGTATATGCCCAGGAGTGGAATTGCTGGGTCGTATGGTAATTCTATTTTAGTTTTTTAAGGACCTCCGTACTGTTCTCCGTAGTGGTTGTATCAATTTACATTCCCATCAACAGTGCACGAGGGTTCCCTTTTCTCCACACCATCTCCCGCATTTGTTGTTTGTAGATTTTCTGATGATGCCCATTCTAACTGGTGTGAGGTGATACCTCATTGTAGTTTTGATTTGCATTTCTCTAATAATTAGGGATGTTGAGCATCTTTTCATGTATGTCTTGGCCATCTGTATGTCTCCTTTGGAGAAATGTCTATTTAGGTCTTCTGCCTATTTTCTGATTGGGTGGTTTGTTTCTTTAATATTGAGCTGCATGAGCTGTTCATACATTTTGGAGATTAATCCTTTGTCCATTGATTCAGTTGCACATATTTTCTCCCATTCTGAGAGTTGTTTTTTCATCTTGTTTATAGTCTCCTTTGCTGTGCAAAAGCTTTGAAGTTTCATTAGGTCCCATTTGTTTATTTTTGTTTTTATTTCCATTACTCTAGGAGGTGGATCAAAAAAGATCTTGCTGTGATTTATGTCAAAGAGTGTTCTTCCTATGTTTTCCTCTAAGAGTTTTATAGTGTCCGGTCTTACATTTAAGTCTTTAATCCTTCTTGAGTTTATTTTTGTGTAAGGTGTTAGGGAGTGTTCTAATTTCATTCTTTTACATGTAGCTGTCCAGTTTTCCCAGCACCACTTATTGAAGAGACCGTCTTTTCTCCATTGTATATCCTTGCCTCCTTTGTCATAGAATAGTTGACCATAGGTGCGTGGGTTTATCTCTGGGCTTTCTATACTGTTCCATTGATTTATATTTCTGTTTTTGTGCCAGTCCCATATTGTCTTGATTACTGTAGCTTTGTAGTATAGTCTGAAGTCAGGGAGTGTGATTCCTCCAGCTCCGTTTTTTCCCCTCAAGACTGCTTTGGCTATTCGGGGTCTTTTGTGTCTCCATACAAATTTTAAGATTTTTTTGTTCTAGTTCTGTAAAAAATGCCATTGGTAATTTGATAGGGATTGCACTGAATCTGTAAATTGCTTTGGGTAGTACAGTCATTTTCACAGTTTTGATTCTTCCAATCCAAGGACATCGTATATCTCTCCATCTGTTTGTGTCATCTTTGATTTCTTTCACCAGTGTCTTATAGTTTTCTGAGTACAGGTCTTTTACCTCCTTAGGTAGGTTTATTCCTAGGTATTTTATTCTTTTTGTTGCAGTGGTAAATGGGATTGTTTCCTTAATTTCTCTTTCTGATCTTGTGTTGTTAGTGTATAGGAATGCCAGAGATTTCTGTGCATTAAATTTGTATCCTGTAACTTTACCAGATTCATTGATTAGCTCTAGTAGTTTTCTAGTGGCATCTTTAGGATTCTCTATGTATAATATCATGTCATCAGCAGTGACAGTTTTACTTCTTCTTTTCCAACTGGATGCATTTTATTTCTTTTCTCTGATTGCTGTGGCTAGGACTTCCAAAACTATGTTGAATAATAGTGGTGAGAGTGGACATCCTTGTCTTCTTCCTGATCTTAGAGGAAATGCTTTCAGTTTTTCACCATTGAGAATGATGTTTGCTGTGGGTTTGTCATATATGGCCTTTATTATGTTGAGGTAGGTTCCCTCTATACCCACTTTCTGGATAGTTTTTATCATAAATGGATGTTAAATTTTGTCAAAAGCTTTTTCTGCATCTGTTGAGATGATCATATGGTTTTTATCCTTCAGTTGTTGACATGGTGTATTACATTGATTGATTTGCATATATTGAATAATCCTTGCATCCCTGGGATAAATCCCACTTGATCATGGTGTATGATCCTTTTAATGTGTTGTTGGATTCTGTTTGCTAGTATTTTGTTGAGGTTTTTGCATCTATATTCATCAGTGATATTGGTCTGTAATTTTCTTTTTTTGTAGTATCTTTGTCTGGTTTTGGTATCAGGGTGATGGTGGCCTCATAAAATGAGTTTGGGAGGGTTCTCTTTTTCTTGATGAGTCTGGCTAAAGGTTTATCAATTTTGTTTATCTTCTCAAAGAACCAGCTTTTAGTTTTATTGATCTTTGCTATTGTTTTCTTTGTTTCTATTTCATTTATTTCTGCTCTGATCTTTATGATTTCTTTCCTTCTACTAACTTTGGGTTTTGTTTGTTCTTCTTTCTCTAGTTCCTTTAGGTGTAAGGTTAGATTGTTTATTTGAGATTTTTCTTGTTTCTTGAGGTAGGATTGTATTGCTATAAACTTCCCTCTTAGGTCTGCTTTTGCTGCATCCCATAGGTTATGGATCGTCGAGTTTTCATTGTCATTTATCTGTAGGTATTTTTTGATTTCTTCTTTGATTTCTTCAGTGATCTCTTGGTTATTTAGTAACGTATTGTTTAGTCTGCATGTGTTTGTGTTTTTTACGTTTTTTTCCCTGTAATTGATTTCTAATCTTATAGCATTGTGGTTGGAAAAGATGCTTGATATGATTTCAGTTTTCTTAAATTTACCGAGGCTTGATTTATGACGCAAGATGTGATCTCTTCTGGAGAATGTTCCGTGTGCACTTGAGAAGAAAGTGTAATCTGCTGTTTTTGGGTGGAATGTCCTATAAATATCAATTAAATCTATCTGGTCTATTGTGTCATTTAAAGTGTGTGTTTCCTTATTAATTTTCTGTCTGGATGATCTGTCCATTGGTGTAAGTGAGGTGTTAAAGTCCCCCACTATTACTGTGTTACTGTTGATTTCCTCTTTTATAGCCATTAGCATTTTCCTTATGTATTGAGGTGCTCCTATGTTAGGTGCATATATATTTATAATTGTGATATCTTCTTCTTGGATTGATCCCTTGGTCATTATGTAGTGTCCTTCCTTGTCTCTTGTAACATTCTTTATTTTAATAAAGTCTGTTTTATCTGATATGAGTATTGCTACTCCAGCTTTCTTTTGGTTTCCATTTGCATGGAATATCTTTTTCCATCCCCTCACTTTCAGTCTGTACGTGTCCCTATGTCTGAAGTGGGTCTCTTGTAGACAGCATATATATGGGTATTGTTTTTGTATCCATTCAGTGAACCTGTGTTTTTTGGTTGGAGCATTTAATCCATTCACGTTTAAGGTAATTATCGATATGTATGTTCCTATTACCATTTTCTTAATTGTTTTGGGTTTGTTTTTGTAGGTCCTTTTCTTCTCTTGTGTTTCCCACTTAGAGAAGTTGCTTTAGCATTTGTTGTAGAGCTGCTTTGGTGGTGTTGTATTCTCTTATCTTTTGCTTGTCTGTAAAGCTTTTGATTTCTCTGTTGAATCTGAATGAGATCCTTGCCAGGTAGAGTAATCTTGGTTGTAGGTTCTTCCCTTTCCTCACTTTAAATATGTCGTGCCACTCCCTTCTGGCTTTTAGAGTTTCTGCTGAGAAATCAGCTGTTAACCTTATGGGAGTTCCCTTGTATTTTACTTGTCGTTTTTCCCTTGTTGCTTTTAATAATTTTTCTTTGTCTTTAATTTTTATCAAGGTGGTTACTGTGTGTTTCAGTGTGTTTCTCCTTGGGTTTATCCTGCCTGGGACTCTCTGCACTTCCTGGACTTGGGTGGCTGTTTCCTTTCCCATGTTAGGGAAGTTTTCGACTATAATCTCTTCAAATATCTCCTCAGGTCCTTTCTCTCTCTCTTCTCTTTCTGGGACTCTATCATGCGAATGTTGGTACGTTTAATGTTGTCCCAGAGGTCTCTTAAACTGTCCTCATTTCCTTTCATTCTTTTTTCTTTATCCTGTTCCATGGCAGTGAATTCCGCTGTTCTGTGTTCCAGGTCACTTATCCATTCTTCTGCCTCAGTTATTCTGCTGTTGATTCCGTCTAGTGTATTTTTCATTTCAGTTATTGTATTGTTCATCTCTTTGTTTGTTCTTTAATTGTTCTAGGTGTTTGTTAAACATTTCTTGCATGGTCTTGATCTTTGCCTCCATTCTTTTTCCGAGGTCCTGGATCATCTTCGCTATCATTATTCTGAATTCTTTTTCTGGAGGGTTGCCTATCTCCAGTTCATTTAGTTGTTTTTCTGGGACTTTATCTTCTTCCTTCATCTGGTACATAGTCCTCTGCCTTTTCATTTTGTCTGTCTTTCTGTGAATGTGGTTTTCATTCCACAGGCTGAAGGATTGTAGTTCTTCTTGCTTCTGCTGGCTGCTCTCTGGTGGATGAGGCTATCTAAGAGTCTTGTACAAGCTTCCTGATGGGAGGGACTGGTGGTGGGTAGAGCTGGGTGTTGCTCTGGTGGGCAGAGCTCAGTAAAACTTTAATCTGCTTGTCTGC